ATGAGGTTAACTGTMCTCCCATTAAATAAGCAGATTGTTTCCAGCATCTCAGTTGGACATAACGGGTGCCAGATTCCTTCTCATRAATAAGGAAGGAGGTTGTCCTGCTTTTTGGACTCCTTCCATTCTTTCCCCAGCTTGGTTGCCAACGTTTGGAAAGATATCAGCAATCTACTTGGTTTCTTGAAGAAACAAATCTTTTGCAGTCAGCTGAATAGGATGCCAATGTGTGTATTCAGCCTATTCTAACAACTAGATATGCAATATTGTTGCAGACCTGCTTGTAGGAGCCTGAGATTTACGTAGCTCTATAACATCAAAAAAATTCCAATGACGGAACAGGAAGTCTGAAGCCAAGATAAAATAATAGAGTCTAAAAGCGACAAGACTGAAGAAAATAAAATGGGCTTTTGCTTTTTCCTACAGTATCATAAAAATGATTCTATACTGCAGCAGGAGGACTGTGTCCCTATCATTCATATATTAGCTGCCAACATGTAACTAAGGGAATGTCCATTATACAGTAAAGTAATAGCCAAGAAATTTGTCACACTGTGAATAGTAAATTGTATTAAAAAAGGAACACCTATACCCTGCAAGCTTTCTAAACACTTACTAGGCACATTTGATTATTGCATTTTCTATTTGAAAGCTGGAACAGACAGGTAAAAAAATTGAACTTGGAAAAAAAAAGAAAAAAAAAGATTTTTTTTTGTTATGAAAAATCAAATATAGTAACTGTTCCTTGTCCTTCCTGGTCAAGTAATGACTGGCAGCATTTGATTTGATTTGAAAGATTTGAAGAAGGCTCATAAAACCATGGTAGATCAACCTTACATACCAGGCAGCAGGGCTAATAGAAGAGCGTAAATATACCATCTGYTCCATTACAATTACTGCAACTAGTAAAAGCCTGTGCAGCAGTTAGAGGGTTTAGGGTCCTAAATTCCTCTTTGAGAAAACGTAGGATAGTTAGGACCTCTTTGCCATGCTCAGGAACATCTCGCATAAAGATAATAAAAAAAAAAAAATCACTTATTCTGTAAAACTTGGAGGAAAAAAAAAACATTACACCCATCTCAAAGTAAAACCAGTATACATAAGTCAGCAATTATGTAATGTCGTCAGGATGGTCCAGTGGAGACGGCTCCTTCCATCAGCAACGTCRCTTTGAAGCTCGGAGTTAATGCTGAGCAATGCTAAAGACACTCTGGTGCAAACAATTTGCATGTCTTTACATTAATTCAGACTTGAATAAACTGAAATAGTAACAGGAATCTGTTGATAGGTAAGTTGAAGGGAAGAAACATACAGAGTAAACAAAGATTCCACTGAACAGCCATCACCACCACTTCTATATGGCACCAAAAGGGGTGAAGACCAGCATTTTTTATTGCAAATACATCTATGATTCTCAGATTCTTGCAGTAGCACTGAAAGACACCAACCTTAAGCCTTTTGATTCTGAAATAAAAGTCTTGAATAAACTAAACGCAACCATGATCAATAAAACTCAGTGTTACTCTGTTACCCAACACGGAGGCAGTTACCCAACAGTGTTGTTACCAAACATGCAGGCAAATAGACAAACAGTTTACTTGCAAGCTTGTARATTTTATATTTCCCTCTTAGTTGTATCATGCTGTGTTGGCATACTTGTGTCTTCTGGAAAAAGAGCAGGATAGTATGAAACTAATCTAATCTATTTGCAGTTTATACACCTACGTACAACATTTTTCTTTGGTCACATTCCCTATGAAGGTGCATCTACATAGAGGGGACGTCCACATAAGTCTGCAGTGAACATTAAAATGGTTTTGAGGGGAATGGAATTATTGTGAATTTTCAAATACGACACAATAGATAGACTGAGCAAGGCTTATGCCCTTTGAGAGCCTTCCCCAAGCCTCCGTGATCCAGACAGGGATTGAACCTGTAACAGAGTAACAGGGCTATTATGACCAGCTTGACTTATGAATATGATTGGGATTGGTACTAGGCAAAAATTTAAAGCAGAGTTTCAAATTTTAGGTACTTCTGGCACAAAGTAGAATGATTTTGCTGGCAGAGGCTCTTAAATCTACTATATTTTTGTTGTTGTTTCAAACCCAGCACTGAGGGTGTAAGATTTATTTGTAACCTGTGGTTTTACCAACTGATACAGTAACTTAAATTAGAAATATTTGCTTATTAGACTTACTCCTTCCCACCTCCCAAACTGAGCAAACAATTTTTTTTTCTGGACTCTTTAGACACTTGAGAGATCACATTGCAAAGAATTGTATGACTTGGGGAAACAAAAGTTCAACTCACTCTTCTGAAAAAATGGTTGACGTTCCAGAAGAACATTTAGAAAAAACAGGTGTTATTCCACCTGCATGAAAGAAAATCTCCCTCTTCTCAAGGAAAGTTTGAAATGAAAATTTTCTATTTTTTTCTATTTTTCTATATTTTCTATTACTTCCTAATTCATAAGCTGAGATCTATCTTTTATAATTGCAAACAAAAGGAAAAAAAATCTATCCCTGGCACATAAAACATGCTTCACTTTTGTGAAGCAAAATCAGGTTGTGACTACCTTAAAAATAGCTATCATCCGGCTTTTTTTCTGAAAAAAAAATGGTGTACTTGCAGGTTTCCTTGAAACTGGGGCACAGGATGGAGACACAAACACTTCTCTGAAGATAGTATTTAAAAATTCTGAAATAAAACAGTTTTCAATCCATAATACTCTGCAATTCATCAGGATACAAGTTAGGATGTTGACAGAGGAGGTTTGAGAATCCCTTGCAATTCATTGTCAGCTGCAATGAAAAATGGAGAACAGGGTGGTGTGATTGTAGCAGCAGTAAACTGAAGATGACCCCAGGCTCCAGGTGTGCCTGTGTCACAGCAAACTAGTTAACTTGGAATTAATTTCTTAATTTAGCTGGTGAGAATTAAGTAGAACATTCAGTTTAGAGAGACCAAATTTATGGGGAAAATAAGGTATTATAGCAAATATAACATTAAAATGTGAAAAAGCAGAAAAGAAACCATCAGTCATTATTAATTTCTTTTTTTATAAATACAACATACATACATACACACGCACAAATGCTTCTTGAAAAGCAAAAATTTAATTAAGCATTAGCTTGTTTAAGAAAATATTAGGATGGTCTTTTTGTTTCATGGACATGTCAGACTTGCTTTGATATTTTGGGAAAATAACACTTAGCTATTGAAGATCTACCAAGTAAATGGAAGAAACAAGATGCATAATTGCTTGCTTGTGAGCATTTCATGTCGTATCTTAATCAGTTAACTTCCAAAGCATCAGCTTTCAGATATCTGACAGACAGGATCTTTAGTTCTTGTTATTTTTTTTCTGTATGTTACAATAAAAACTCAGTTTCAATTATCCATGTATCCTTCCATACCACCAGGACTTCATGGTCATTGAGAATCAAGTCTTGAATATTCATTTTGCTTAATGTAAAACAAATGATTTCTTATGTTCCAAGATCCCAGGACTCCAAGACTTAACTAAATAGGGAACTCTTAAAGGAAACAGATCTCTAGAGATGCATCTAACATGCCTATTGCTAAGTGTCTTCTGAGAAATACAGCATTATGAGTACTAGAAGATCAAACGACCCAGGGGAACAAGGTCAGGGCATCTACAATAACACATTTCTTAATTGCAATTTTATTATTTCATACTATTTAAACACCATTTGCTCAAACATAATGAACTAATTATTCATTTGGTACAATATATAAGGAGAGGCACATTTATTGTGCCAAATACTTTGTCATTTTCTACTTGGTTGTGCAATTGCTAAATTACATGACTATTTCTTCCATAGCATCAGTGTCTTCAGTTCTCAGGTGACTACATAAAAAGATTTGCTCTTCCCATTGTGCTCATTGAGGATGTTCTGTTATTTACCATACACGGGGCCATTTTCAGTCAACTTACCTGAAAATTGGAGGAATTTTCAAATGTTAACTTAAGAATATTCTTTTTGCATCATTTTTACAGATATGAACTGGAAATGATGTCTGAAGCTGTAACTTGAGAGCTTTGAAACCGCATATATCTATCAAATCTAAAGATAACAAGAAACATAATATTTTTGAGGATTTTTTWAAAAATTAATTTACCCAGCGATAAAATGCACTGAACTAATCTTCCAGGATGATTTCTTTTTTTAAATCAGTTTTACATATTTAACTCAAATAAAAAATAAATGTTATTTAGCATATAATTGCACCTCTGAAATACCACCAGAGTTTGGCTACATTAGTGGAAAAACCTATCAGAATTATTTAGATAGAATAAAAACTGTTTTCTTTCCMTGTAGTCACAAAATAAAAAGTTTCAGCCATATATCCTTTAGCATTCTTCTGCCCCTCTTACCTATTATGTCTTTATCCTTTAATCTTTCTTTTTACATATTTAGTTTCCAGGCTCATTTTTATTTAGATTCCTATTGGATATCTGAAAGCAGATATTTTTTCCTTTATCTTACACTAATTTTCATCTTTCATTTTGTTATTTATTCTCAACACATAAAAGAGCGTTTCAGATGGGAAACATACAACTGGAAGGGATCTGCTGTATCAAACCTGCAAATGATTTCACAGAGAATTACTTTGTTAATTCCTCTATATACAGATCAAGTTCTATCTTACCACCACTATTTGAATTAGAAGACCACCAGACCTTCATGCCCCCAGGAATTTCCTCCTACTTTTCAGCCTAAAACTTATTCATGGTGAATTGCATCARCTCCCCACATCAGCATCATCCTTTATTTGTAAGTATATTTAAAATATTATTTTAGCTTTTGATCTGTTAAGGTCAACAAGCCATTTTTTTAATCTCTTCTCATGTGGCATTTTCTYCACTGCCTAAAGATTCTAGTAAACATTTTCTACTTTCACTCTTCCAGATCAGATTGCACTGAAGATTTTGCAATGCTATTAATTTTCCCCCCTCTATGTAGAATGTTTCTTAATACCTTACACACATATCTATAATGCCCCAAATCTACAAATTCGTACCTAAAATTTGTTTAAAATATCTYAAAACTAAGTTTTCAAATTGTCACTTTTCTTTATAGAGAGCAAGAGCAAAMTGTATAGTAACAGATTTCAAAACGTGAACAATTGGTAACAATTTCATCTCATGTATAAAAATTCACTTTTGCTTCTATTTTATTGGTACCTTCTATTTTATTGGAACTTCCTGCTTTTCTGGGTAAGTTGCTAGATTCTTTGAGTGCGAGGGCAGTGAAAACAGCATCTACTCACTCTTCTGAAACCACATCTAATTCGACAAGTTTTATAAACAGGATAACCTGGAATATTTTACTTCAAAACAACTATATCCAATGCCAAAAAAATGAAKTGCGCTAAAAAAAGCTTAGTCTTTCAGAGGAGAAACTCGTAAGGTAAAGGAATAGTGCTAAAGACTAAATGTAAAAAACTGAGCCACCAAAGTCACCCTGTTGAAACCCATTCTGTGCAGAACCGAGACACACTGTGCCACTCATGAGCAGTTGTTTCACTGCATGAGTGTTTCAAAATTCAATGAAACTTCAGCTACATTTTTTCTTTCTTGCTTGCTTTTTTTCTTTTTTCTTTTTTTTTTTTTTGGCTGATCAAATCAAAGGCAATGTCCAGAAACATTCAGTACTAAAGAATTTGTTTATGGCATTGTTTTACAAAAGTTCCTAACAGACAGCAACTATTTTATTGTTGGATGTATCCTTTATTTTATTAATGATGATGTGTAGTAATCAATGGAATGCTAAAAAATAAACTCATAAAGAAAGAAATCTAGCGTGAAACTTGAATTTGTTGTCTGAAGCAAGTTCAGTGGTCACGGTAACACCAGTTAAAGATCATCTCTTGCCCATTAGTGAAATAGGCATGGCTCTCCTWAAAAGGTCACAAATCTTTCAAATATAGGCACCATGTTTTAAAATTTGCACATACAAAATATGTTCATGTCACTCATATTACACAATGTGGCAGTGTTATAAGTCTAGATATTATTCTCAATTAATGGCAAAGAAAAGAGCCAAAAGCTCGCATAGGACTAATTTTTGGGACAAATCTTGAAAAGAGACAAATAGTATAAAACAACAGTTTTCCTGTTGTATGTGGGTTTGAGTGTGCATGTGTGAGAGTGCATATAACAAAAAAAATGTTTAAGAGCAAGTTCAAATAAAAACCCATCCATCTGTTCTCAGGTTCTTATGCAGCTCCAGTACTAATCGCTTTCATTTTAACTACATGTTAAAATGCAAATTCAAATCCCATATAAACCGTTAGTACGTTGACTGGCTCAAACCAATCGGAACTGAGAATTACTGCTGAGTCTCTTCGTTTTTTCTCTATTTGTCAGCCTCTGGGTATGTTGGGTACTTGACTGTCTCAATTTTCTCCTTAACTTTATAGGACGGGTAGAGGCCTGTTCTTCCCAATTTCCTGTTGATGCCTTTTGAATAACCATCCCAGTGGTTTCCAGCTACTCCAATTACATCTCCGGGTTCCATAGGAATTTCATCAGCAGTTCGTGGATGATGAGCATAAATAGCAACCTGGTTGTGGGCATTCTGTCCCCCAAAATAGTAGATATCATCCAAGGAATGGAAATAGGCTGAAGCATCCGGATGCAATGTCTGCATAATTTCATAGGCAACTCGACAAACCTTGGAAATCAAAAGAGAAAACATAAATATTGTGTCTGGCTATAATAGGTCATATTAGTTGACAAACATGCAACAATTCAACTGCACAAAAGTGCCACTGAGTTTTACAATGTCCAGTTTCCTAAAGTAATCGAAAATGCTAAAYGCTTACTAATGAGAAATATAGAGTTTTTACTAAAACACCTAAGATCAAATTTGACAAATATATAAACATCTGTTTTTCAAGAAAATTGGAAAACACGCATATGCATATTAACAGCCTTGCATTTTTTAAAAAAATGATTTGTAGCCAACCAAATGTAAGTTTGATTTTCTCTTTCTGCTTATAATAACAAGATGATTTATAAAACTATTAATATGAGGCCAAGTACAAAATTATGACTGTTGACAATATAGAAGTTAACTGAATTCCAATAGGACAGTAATGATATTAGTCAACAGCAAGATCCATTTAAATGGATTGTTCACTTCTAGATCACAATCCACGAAGGGACTTTTCTTCAGATTGCAAACGTAAAGTCTTCACTATCAGAATCCTGTTGTATATCTCAAAGTTGCCAGAAACAACAGCTACGCAGAAGAAAGCTTCTTTCAACAGCTAGAAAGCCTCAAGTCAGATGTCTGATTTGGCCACTGTGATCTTTCTACGTGTACTTGAGAAATGTTCTTTAGTGTCTGCTGTTGAAGAACCCTGCTCTATGTTGTTTGCTGTAGTTATTTCAAGAGCTTTACATATTTGTTCATCTTGCTACCCATTCTGGATTTTGTTAAGTTCAACACATTGGGCATAATTTTCAGAGCTTTAAACAAAAATAATTCAACAGTCTAGTTACACAGAGACYATATCCCTTCGCAGCTATATTCTTCAGGATCAGTATACTTAATGTCGACAGCTTCTAATTCATGAAAATTAACCATGACATCCACGCAATTGGAAGATATGAATTTCATAGCAAGAGATCAAGGTTTTCAGAGGAGTTAAATACAATCTCAAATAACGATAAAACTTTACCTACATAAAGACACATCGGAGAGACAATAACCATTCAGTAATTATTTCTATTGTCAAATGCAGGCTGATGCAGAATGAGAACAAATTTATTCATATCATGATCATAAGTAACTTATTAATAACTTGCTAAATATACCAAAAAAAAAATTTTCTTTACAGGATTTGGTTGACGACAAAAAAAAAAAAAAAAAATGTTCACAAGTGTATTTCAAGGGTAAGAGATTTTTCTATACTTTTTTCCTATTATTGCTGCCTTCTTGCCATGACAATCTAATTAAGAAATCTGTCTCTCAAATCAATATATTAATCAACCATGTATTTGTATTATGTTTATTATCTAATTGTCATTAAAGACAATTTACATTTGAGGCTGCAGAGAATATTTATATTTATGTTTGAAGTGATTTTTAACTTTCAGTTTATGGGTCCATTCTGGCATAATATTGGAATTAAGTAGGACCACAAGGCCAACTGCAATTAAATTCTTTCCCAACCAGGATTGACCCTTAAGAGTATTCGCGAGTATAAGAAGATACAAAGTTTTCATTCYTCACATGATTTCAGTTATCTTCTGATATATGCGACATAGGTAGAGGTAGATCAACATATCAGCAATAAGATAATGCCTCTCTGATATATGTTTCTTTCTTTTGTTTTAAATCTTGTTTAAAGAGTTTTTTGCAATACATGAAATTAAACACCCAACACAATAGGGAGAAAACAGCAGTGATGATATTACACAATTTTTTTTCCAATGGGCTACAACTTTAAAAAAAAAAGCTTATAATATATAAGTATCTGCAACAAGAAAACTCTATGAATTACAGTGATTAGAATTTACATTTACAGTGCTACTATTAGGTTTCCAGAAATTTAATTGTGGAGAAATTAAATCGCTCCTTCCTTCATTCTTTTCTATTACATTGCCTGTAATCAACTGAGGCAACAGCAGACATGTTTAAGCTGTCAGAGCACAACAATGTGTATAAATGGATGGACACAAGTTAACTTTACATTACTTAATTTGTATTTGTCTTTGTAATACATAAAAATATGCTACACTCTTTTTAACTTTTTAAAATATATTAACCGAGCTAGTAACTTCAACAGAAGATAAGTGCCAAGAGTCTTTAGTGTCCACATTGTCTACATAGTCTACAGAATTTTCATAAGAGCACATCAAGATGACAAAAGAAAGAGCATGCCATCCACTTAGATTTAGAAAAACTGAAACGAATCTATACCATATTTTAAAGTTATAATTTACCTGTGAGGAAAATGTACAGACCAGGAAGTCTGCTTGAGACAAAAAGTGAATATCCAGAATAACACCTCTCAGGGAGTTTTCCGTATATCGATTATGAAGTCCTGCTGACCAAGATATGGAGTTATCACTGATAAATTCATAATTTGGATACCTGTGAAAATAAAATAAGACTCTTCTGTTAGAAATAAAGATATAAATAGATAGTTAAGGTGAAACAGTATCTTCACTGCAAAGTAAACTTGTTGAGTTGTTGCAAGAGARTCTTTTTTATTTATTTATTATTTATTTTATTTTTTTTACAAGGTAAACACTATAGCTTTGCTGAACACTCTGTAACAGTAATTACTGCCTCCATATGTGCCCCATCTTTATCCAGAGAAATAAACATCACCTTTGATGAGATTGGAAATCTTACACTGAAAGACATCTTTGCCATATTCTGCTAATGCTACCAATTCTAAACAACAAGTACTCAGATCCTTTGGTTTATCTATTGTTAAATAAGACACAGCACTTGCCAGGTTTCATTTCTGTATATTACCATRCAGAAATCAGATCAAATGTCATGATCAAATAGATCATGACACAGTACAAAAAATAGGCAACCTATAAAGGGACTCATTAGTTAAATTTAAACTACAAAAATTTGATTGTCCTTTAAAGTTATTAATGCTGTGTGAAGACCTGATTTTTCAGTTTAGTAGTCAAAAGGAAATAAAAGGAATGTAAAATTTCATATCAATACTTTTTTTCCATATCATTAAATATAAAGTCAATCCCCAAAACATTACATTTTACCTTAACATATACTCCATATTTTTAGGACACAATGATATTTTTGAAAGCAAAAGTGAAAAGACTCTGTTCTTTCTCAGAATATTTTTCCTCCTTTTATTGGTAAACTGACTGAAATAATCTGCAAAATGTTGCATAAATTTATTATAAAAAATTCATTCAGTCCTCCACCAAAAAACAAGCTTTTCATGAAAAATTTCTAAGACTACAATWACATTGGTATTATGCAATAATTATGTCTATTTGTATAAAGTGTAACAAATATGACTAAACTGCAAACTATAACATTTTAACTACAGGGCTAATTACCAAATAAATTAAATAAGATGTATTTCTCAAATTTATAACTTCACAGCAATTATAAAGCAATATTTACATAGCATAGTAATTGAGATATTTTACATTTGTATAAAGGGACCACTCAGTGTTTAAAAAAAAAATTAAAGAGATAGAAAGTTCATGTGGCAGACCCTAATGTGGGAGTAACAACCATCAATGTAGAGTGAACTAGTTTCAAAACTAAACTGTCCTGTGCTGAAAATCTTTCAAAATAAGCAATCTTGCATTCCGATCTTGGAAAGATCCTGGAGTTAGCACATACTTGTATATAACAAGCTAGCATGTGCCTATTCTGTACATGGGACAGACTGATCATTCTTTCAACCTTCTATAAGAATATGCCTATTTTATTCCACGTTAAAATAATTAGAAAAAAAATGCCTTAAGAAGTGAAATAGGCAAATAGCTTAAATTTTTCCATCTAACACTAACCAGCCATGATTACCACATGAGGAAAAAATCATTTTAAAAGCAAATCAAAAAACTTTATGCAAAACATGTAGGATCAAAGTACATGAGTTAGAATTAGAATTTATCTTCAGATCAGTTTTATTAGTTTCATGTTCCCGAGAGATATACCTGTTCTAATACAAAAATTAATACATCAGTGCTAAATTTCCCCGAGGTAGCAAGACAACTTTAAAAGGAACACCTGATCATGAATGTCAGGGGAAGTTCAAGTTCTAGGAAAAGAAGAGAAAGAAGGCAACAATATTACTCATTAAGAATAACTGCCTGAGAAGCGATATGGCACACATATTAAGAATTCCCTCCTCTCCCTGTATGAAATCTATCACAATGATATTTTTTCCCTTATTTTCTCTGTGGCTAAAGTAGAGAAAAATATATAACAGGCCAAACCGATATTTCTCCTAAGCTCTATCATACGTGGCCCTTTGGCTTGCTGCATCAAGTGAGGTATAGTTTTCCTTTCTACACAGTATAGAGGTTTCGATTCTATTTAAAACTGTTCTTTATCTCACTGACTATAAAAAGCAGAGCAAAGTCTTAAACCTCCATGGTTAGCTACTGCTTCATTATATTCCCTTTGCTATCTGTAAGTAACGTAATACTTGCACTGTAAGCATTTAGGAAAAAAAACAGACTGTGGGCGAAATCTGGTCTGCTMCTAGGAGAGCCAAATTTTGTGGTAAATAATAAACAAGAGCTCATATTCTTACTGATAGAAGGAAGCCTACAGAACATTATATTAGATGATTCTGTCTTTCAAGAAATTGCCTACACATACTCTTCTCTAGTGACAGGAAAGAGCCAGACTGTAAAGACAAAAATCAAAGAATGGAAGCTGGCATAATAATGTTTTTTGTCTGTTTATCTAAAGTGCTATCTAATTTGTCTTAAGTTACCTAATAGATTCTTGAAAGCCATGTTGAATGCCAAACAAGATATTTTCCTAGGAAAGGGGTGGGGGGGAAGAAAGGACACCAGAGGAGGGTGGGAAGAGATATGTTCATCAGTAATCTTTCTTTCTCAGCCACCAGTTTCTGATAAAAATAGAAACCAAACCATAGTTAGGAGAATATTTCAGGTTTTAGATGCTTTCAGAGGCCCATCAGCTGCCTGTTTAACAGGCCATAGATAAACTGGGCAGCAATGCAAACCAAACAGGTCCCTGTTCGCAGTTCAAGAGGACTGCAGAGCTGTCCAAAACAGGTCATGCACGTTTGGTTCCCTTAGAAATTGGAATGTGAGGAAAAAGCATAGAGCAAGAACGGACCAAGAAATAATTTGTTTCTATTACTCCATCCATGTATGAAATGCTCATCACGCCCAAGAACTTTGAAACACTCCTAACTCCTGGATCCTGTTGTTTTTATCTGTGTAAGTTATACACCTATTACATAGCTGTAAAAGATTGTCATTGCTTTACATTCACAATAGCAAGTTGGCACGGAAATAAAGCAGAAAAAAACCCTTACAAACGGGCACGAGAAAAAAAAATCATGAGGCAAGGAAATAACAGCGTAAACTGAAAAGGCAAAGTACAACATGATATCACAGGTGAACATTCTGAAGGAAAGATTTTAATTTACTGAATTTTAGTATTCATATAGTAGAGAAGGAGACCTAGAGAGATTATTAGACAAAACAGGAAGGTATTAAATATGCATCCTTAAGAATACGGGCTATCCAGCTGCATTCTTCTAGACGAAGATAGAAAGCTTCTTTAGAGATAGAAATCATCTTTAGAGAGATGATGCTGTCAATAACATTAGAGATTAGAAACACTTTCTAGCGTAAATTCTAAACACTGAATGATCCACTGAATAATCCGATGACTTTTTCCAGCACAAAGAAAAAGTAATTTATAGCATTTCCTAAAATATACCATGTGCTCTGGCTTACCAAAAGTTATCATTACAGTGAATCACTTTCTCTCCTACAGACTGCTACTACAGACTCCATTTTCTTTCACATCAAACTTGCAGCTGGTAGGTCTCTATGACCACAAAGGAAGTTTCTGAAACTTGAATTAAAATATTTCCATGACTAAGTAACTTGATACACTTCTTTTAACTGAATGATACATCCACATATCTTTACATTCATTTACATCTAGAACTTAATGACTATTAAATACGAGCATTGTTTCACAGTCCCCCATAGTTGTATAAAGGGRGATTAACAGCTACTTGATACTAATATCTCCGCAGCCATTAATGAAGGCAACAAAAGGTATTATAGCATTTTGTGCCAATTGTTTCTATTAAAGCTTATAAATACTTTCTTATTAAAGTAGAAATTTAAGTTTTATTTATATTTTCATAGGTAAACAATACTAAYAAATACCAATAAAAACGTGATTTGAAATACACCTTGCACTACTTCAGAAACTGTAATGCTAACAAAATTCCAATAGTAGGTTTATTGCTACAGAGGAATTGGGTCCCTTTGTTTAACATGCACTTGATGTTAATACTGACAATGCTGAAGCACATAGTGCTAAGATTTCAGAGTCTGAACATGAAAATGCATACCAGAAATTGCTACAATGATATCGAATTCTATTAAGTCAAAGCAGTAATTAAATTTATTTAGGATAATAATAGTGAATTACATATTATAACCTCAGYCTTGTATTACCTGCTGTTCATTGTTCATATTTGCATTTTAAATGTTATCAGAGTCATTTCTATTACTGTTCTATCTCTATACATAGAAAAAAAGGAAGGATTAGATTGCCATCATCTGGAGTTGCATATATTTAGATTTTTCAAAGCTCCATAATTTGAAAATGTAGACTTTTACAGATATGAAAGAAAAATAGAAATAGTACAGTTGAAATACACAGATTCACAAAGCTTTAAAAAAATTCCTCTGCTACAAAATAAGATTTTGCTTCYCTTGCATATGCCAAAGAAAAATTTATAATCCAGTATGTTATCTTAAGTGCTTTCCCAAGAATGTCTACTATGAATAAAACAATTTGAAATTTGCCATTTTTGAGTTACCTTGATTTTGCACAGTCTTAATTTCCCTGCCTAAAAGAAAAAAATATTCTTTTGTTCAAGGTAGATAAAATTCTGGAAATAGAAATAGGTACTCTGATAGAAATTTAGACATAAAAGTGTCTAAAGTAAAAACATCTGAAGTATTTTTAGCTTTCATAGTCAGGGCAACAAGCATTTGAGATATTTGTTGGGTCAGTTACACCATAATCTAAGAAGGCCATTGCAAAATAAGGAATATCGTTCTTCCATACACRTCTACTTTTTCCTACAAGAAAGATACTGCTGTCTCAGTGACATCTTGCAAAACACACGCCTCAATAATAAAGAAAATATAGGAAAAAGCCACTTTGTAAATGTAATTCACTTACTTGGATTTTGCCTCTTGCAATAATGAAGGGTCATCTGTAGCCAAATATACTCTTTTTTTGTCAACATTCATTCTGCGGGCAAGGAGTTCAAACCGTTCTTCAACATGCACCATATATTCTTCAATAGGATGGAATGCTGCCTCTGTTCCTACTTTGTCTGTCCTTCGGACATGAATGCTGAAAAACGGTAGAAGCTAAGAAATCAATTTATAAATATAACAGATTCTTTAGCAACTGAAATTTTAAATATAAACTTCATGCCTGCACTCCTACAATGTAAATAAAGTTGAATCCTTGCATTAGAAAGGAAGAAAGAAAAGGAAGAACTAGAAGTCACTGATGTCCATCAAGTCACATTAGTTTAAAGAATTACTAACTAGAAACTAACTCTGAAACTCACCTGAAACTATTTTAACAATATGAAATCAGCTGTCAGTCTGCTCTTGAACCATTACCTTAGGAAAGCAAAGAGTAACATCGAAAAGGATGAAGGAGATTTTATTATAGCATATGGGGTATTCCTTCTATGCAGGAGATTACATAATTGAGCATGGCTAAATAACGCTTTCTCAATATAATTCAAAAGCAGAATAAGAGTATTCTCATCGTGGGTACACTGCATTACCACTTATAAGACAGGATTTGAATTAAGGTGGTAAAGACATCTTCCCTAGATGCTGAAAAAAAAAAAATTCAAATCTGCTAGTGATGAGGTAACCTTCTWGGTCTATGGTCAGATGCCAATAAAAGAGCTAAGTCACATACAACCACCACATGCACATGTGTAGTCATTGAAAAAGGAAGATTAGAGGTTGAAGGACAATTGCAATAAAGGGAAACAATGTGCAGACTGCAGCAAACTTTTTTCATGTTGCAGTTTTATTCCTCAAGCTGCTCTTGATTACCCATAGTTGCTTTCCTTTTTCCCATAACTGAAAATACAGTCCTCTCCAATCCTTGGCTGCTGCTCTTACACACTAAGAAACAACAAAAGGGAAACCATTGGCAGAGGAAGGCAAGGCACAATCTGGACTCCAACAGTAAAATGCAGGCTTAGCATTTTTTCCACCTCAAATATACAGGATATGAACATTTGGAAAGACACAAAAGATTCTAGAGCATAAATGGCATTGTACCTTTTTAGATACAGAATAACATTTAAATAAACCTATTGAGCCTCCATTTATACATTTCTACACACCTATATACACCCACTWATGCTTTAAAGAAGTATTTGCAATTAACTTGCATTTTGTACAGTTWAAAAATAAAATCTTCATTTAGAAACCATCCTCCATCTCCACAAAATGTTTGARGTTCTTGGACTACTCTCACAGAACAGTTTTTCACAAATAGGAAACACCATGTACACATATTAAAGTGCAAGCACTTAAAAATAAAATTAAATACCTACCCAATCACTGGATGTTTGAAACCAAGTTTCCTTGTGGCCTCCTCTATTTCTTTTTCTAACCAAGGTTGTGGACGAATCAAGTATTTGACAAACTGGGAGACCCACCACACTGGAGGATCCCCGTGAACACGAATTAACCTGTCAGCTAGGTCTTCRGGGACGGCCAATGGTAAATATGGTGGCCGTGGATGTAAACTGTCAACGATGGGAAGTTCTACCACCTGCACATCCTTATCATTAGCTTCACCTGTGGTAAAATAAAAAATGAAATATTAGGATGAGTGTTAARGTTTACTTGAACATAAAATATTATTAAAATATTAAAATTGAGTTGCTTCTTTAAAAAGAAACACTGACATATTTTAAAAGTTTTTTTTTTTATGTTAGAACTGCAAAAAYTCTTTGGAGAAAGTTTCTCTTCTTGAAGTACATTTAACATCACATTTAGTATCCAACTTGCTGGCTAAGGAATAAGTATTGGTGGTACCAGTAATATAAACCTCCTGGAAATAGCTCTGTCAATACCATTGCACCATTGCTTTTAACTGGAGAACATGAGACTGAAACTGATTTTGTTAATATAAATCTAGAACACATCTTCTCCAATTTTCAACGGATACAGTTTAAAAAGTTTTGATGAGAATTTAAAATAACATAGGATATTGTTTTAGTTTATTGGAAGAGATGCACACACAATGACGCAATGAATAATCAAACCTCAACCAGTTTGACAAGCAAACGTGTATACTAAAAATATTAAATCACATTTTGACTAATAAAAATTCTAGCTGTTCTATTGAAGACAATGAAGTTGGATTAAATATACAGAATGATTAATTTATCACACATTTCCATGTATTTGTTGTGTATTTGGTATATAATTCAGTTCTTCCACTCCCAGTTTTATTTTGTCAGATAATACCTACAAATAATACAAGTAATACCCTCCCAGATCCATACTTTTGCTTATATYTTTTTCCTAAATTGTTAGAAGCACAGAATAATCCTTTTCCTCAAGTTGTTAGAATCAGAATAATAAGGTAAATCACAGGTCAGTGAGATTCTTTTTATGATGTGATATATTTGTGACGTGACTGCTTTTCTAGATGCCAAATTTTACATCTATAAATCTATTTATAGTTCATTTAATTTTCTAATGATTCTAGGTGCTACATCTCAGTCACGATTTACCTAAGAAATTATCCTCTGACATTCTGTGACTTAATCTATTTTTCCTTTACTGGACAACTAGAAGATCAAGTGTTTTTTTACAACAGACTGAATAGCGCAATATTAATCTCCCTCACTCTTATCATCACAAAACACACTGGCAGAAAATTGACCATTTGCAAAGAAATAAACTCGCCTTTCAAAAACACACGTCAGTTTTACCAACTAGGTCTCCTCCACTATTATTTTGATCACTCTAACAGATGAGGAGGACAGTCTCATTTGCACAAGTTCCACTGATCACTTTTTAAATACTGAAGTCAGCTCTGCATGTTACACAGGGCATCATTTGCTTCCCTACAATGTTCCCATCTGCCTTAATTGAATCCTTTATAGGTCACAGGGCGTGCACAATTTTTGTCATTTGGCATAATCTCACTGAGAATTTACTTTTCAAATTTAATCTCAATTAAAATCCCACGTAGACCCTTTTGCTATTTGCATCTTTCATTATCAACTCCTCTGAGGCCTGAAAAATGTTGTTTTTGCCTTAAAACAACCACTAGAATTTTGTCATCTTACCATATCCTCTCACTTCCTGCCACCTGGCTCGGAGTTATATTCAAACTGATATTTCTGTTGAGTGTTCACAAAGAGCAATCAATACCTTTACTTAATGTGAACTGAAAACCATGTTTGAAAAGCACTGTATTCATTCTCATAATATTTTAATTCATCATCTAAATTTACAGTTTCAGAAAGTTGTCTTTAAAAGTATGCATGACGCTGCTTTACTTTTCCGTTCTTATAACATAGACTTCTTTGAGCTGATATCAACTTGCATATGACTAATCACAGTTCTATGTCAATAGAAACCCAAAAGACTTGCTGCCAATTTGAAGCCAAACCCCATCAGAGCAAGTAACTCTAAATCCAATCACGCAAACCATGGCACAGTTAGGATGACGGCTCAGATTAACATATGACATGGTGAGAGGGGTCGTGCTGAATTCTCACAAGGCCCTTCACTGGTCTTGCCAGCTACTGCAAATGTCTTCCAAACACAAGAGGTTCATACTTCATATATTTCAATATTTACACTTTCCTTTGCAAAGCAGACAGAAGAAAATGGAAACTAGGAAATATTCTTCTGTATTATGTTATTTATGATTTGGCAACTAGATCAGAAGAAGTAAAAAGCACTGTTCTGTACTACAACTGCTGAAATTATTTTTAGGGCATTTTCAAATATTATTATAGCTAGTCACCTAGTGAGGATTTAATGTCATTTCAGCCTTCATGGCTGAATTAAAAAATGGAATTAAAATGCCATTAAAAACCCCATTTTTCTTTTTAAGTAGCTGGACGATATAAAATATAAGTGAGTTCATCCCATTCTATTTCAAACTGTGATTTTTCACTAAGTTTGTGCTTTGTACATTTTTAATATGTCTTTGAAATTGTATCTGGATTACTTTATTCACATCAAATAGCATAGTACAGCACTGTCAACAAACCTTTTGCTTTCTTAAAAAACRGCTAAAGAAACTCTTTGCTGAGGACATCATTTTATCAATTCCTTCACCCCACCACAAAACAAAAATCGATAGCACTCTTATTTTTGTTCCAGCACAATGCTGACTTTCCAAGCTTCTTTTCTACCAATATGTCTTGTTAGGACAAGTTCTAATGATTTTCAAAAGTATTTCTTTTCCCACATTGTTATGGCACCTATTCCTAATCAAAAATTCAAAGACAAACAGTGTTCTTCCCTGTGCTAGTAAGTAAAGGGAACTCAATGGCTGTTTTTTCTCTTTGACCTAATGAAAATACAAATTAGGGTGTGGATTTTTGTCTTTGAAATAATTACGCCTCAAACAAAACTAAAGCAGCAGCACCTACTGACTGCCCTGAGGGCCTCCACTCCCTTTTTAATAAACTCAAATGAGCTGCATTATATTTAACTTTTTTTTTTTTCACTCCTGAAAATCTTTCATTGCTTAAACACCAGAAGCCTTTTACAGCCACTTACATGTCATTTTGAAAGAATATTAAAATATAAAGAATCTCCGCTCCTCAGTCATTTGGATACCCAGCACGCCAACTTGAAGTTTACAGATGAAGTGTTTGATTCCACAAGTGGATTCCATACAATCGCCAGGGAAAGCATTTTCAGTGCAATATCAAACAAAGCAGAATTCAGAAAGCTCACCAGCAATTTACTTTCCTTTTAATGTTTATATATTAAAACTGTTCTTGCGCAATTTCTCTTTTCATCCAAACAGCCTGATGAAAGGGAGAACCTACCTAAGAAGAACTCGAGCTCCCCAACTGCTCGAAGGCAAATATTCATTTATAAATACAAAGTTCTGTCTCTGGCTCTGTTATCCAGGTCTAGTCATTCTTCCCAACAGTAATGAGTTAAAAGTAAAATCTTACATATGTATATCTGCAAATGACTGTGGAAAATATATAAAAGAGATATTCACAGGAATATTTTAGAAAAACTAATTTAAGAGGTAGCTTAAACACACTACACTGAAAACAATTTTCTATTTCAGTCAAACTTTAACTACTATATACCTGAAAATACTTCTTTTGAATCGCCTTTTTACGGAATAGCTTATTTTTATAATAGTCCAACAGCTGCAGGAACTTTCTCACAGCTGATCCTTGGCACACAAATGCTGATCAGACTTCACCCAAGCCAACAACAAGCATGTCACAGCATGCAAAGAACAAGACCACCTCAAGATGACTCACATTTCAGGTGAGTTTTCATCAAGTTAAGAGAACAGACCTCAATATTTGGACTTGGTAGGTCCAGACTTGCATAGCTAAAGGTTCCCCATTTAGGATACATATATATATATATATATATATATAGTTGTTTGTTTGTTTTGTTTTTCTTAAGCAGTGGTTTATAATCAGTCCTCCCAATCCTGACTTGTTTTGCGTTTTGACATTTGAAACCCAAGAGCATATCTTCATATAAATTAGTAAAAATGCTTTCATGTGCAAGTCCAGATGGAAAACAACCCTCGAGGTACACAGACAAAAAGAGGCTATAGTTAGTCATAAGTAAAACAGCAAAGAGGTGCTAAGCAACTTGCAATTCATAGGAGTGAGGCATACATCATCTGAAAGATGTAGTTGAAAAATACTGAGAGAAAGAGGGGTACACTGTACTTCATATAGTCTACAAACATCAAAGGCTKAAAAACAAGAGTGCGACTCTCCTGCAGTGCTACAAAAGGAAAACTTCCTGGTCTTAGGTCACAGKGTATGCCCATTTTCAAGTGGTCTACCATTTCTATTCAGAATTTTATTTTCCAAAGAAATTGAGAGAAAAACATAATGCAAAAAGAAATAGGAGGAAAGAAAACTCACATAAGAACACAACCTATTTTTGCCAAGACTTTTACAATAATGTAGTATCATATTGGTTCTATGCTATTAGAAACTTGAAAATAAAGTACTGTTCTTATAGCAGCCTAGGACATATACAAAAAAATACCTATGACTTTGAGATTTGTCTTAAAAGGTATGCAGTAGCAGATGAAGGAAAATCTGTTCTAATGATTTCTCTATATTAAATATGTTAGATAGTATTCACAAAGATGTAATGTCAGAAATATGTGACTCTCAAAGGTTTTCTTTTCTTAGACTTTCATATGAAATTTTAACAATGAATGCATGTCTTACAATGCACATAAAAGCAATAACATGTAGGTTTTCAAGTCTCTTAGCTGTTCAGTACGCTAGTAGGAAATCAGTGATCTAAAGAACCTRAAGGCTGAGAAAGAGAAATGTAAAACTGAAGAAATGATTGAAGCCTTAAAAGACTTGGGAAACCTTTCAATTATTTTACATGAGAAAGAATTCAATACTATTTTGCTATTTAGTTGATTCTTTATGCCTAACAAAATATAAGCAATAAAAAAATGTTTTCATTATTAAAGGTATGATGTTCTGAATATATACAAGAAATAAATCCTGCATAACTAAATGACTTTTGGGGCCTTTTTTTTTTTTTTTTTTCAATTCATTACTTAATTAGTACTTAACTAGCACTAG